CCTACAAGCCTTCATGCTTCACACCACTCGTCCTGCGAGCTTCACACCACTCGTCGTGTGGCATGCAGCATGTAGGCTTGCAGTATGCATGGTGTGCAGCAGAAGAGGGTGCCGGAAGGATGAATGAGTCACCACGGACGAAAGAGGGTGTTGCCAACAGGTGGTGTGGTCAGGTCTGTTACCGTCTGTAAAAGAGGGTTACTGTTTGTTAGAACGTGGTGGTGTCGCAGGGGATCAGAACAAGGAGTCACCAGAAATGTGTGTCGTGCGGGAGCGAAAGAGAGTGTCGGCAGCAGTGGGATGGATCAGTCTCACCAGGAGAATCAATCGGCCATAACTGGCCATGGTAGCAGTCCGGCTGCCTCTATGATCGCATCGGACTCCTCTGACGGTACCGTACCCGAGCTATCGCAGGAATCCGTTTCAATTTTCGTTTCTATCGCTTCGCCATACTGGTACAGTCCTCAGTAGCGAAGAGTCACTGTAGCATGTGTCCATGGGTTCCTTTGCGCTTGCATTCAGCAACAAGAATTTGATCTCAGGATAAGCTTCAGCATTGGGCCATGTCGGATAACAACAATAAGGACATGGCCTGTTCAACAAAGCCGGATTGGTGGCAAACGGTGATGCTCTGGCGCGACAATATTGACGAGCCAAAGTCAGACGAAGAAACCTCGGCATCCCAGCAACTGAGCCCTTTGCTGCAGACGAACAAGCAGTTGTCGCTCCTAACTCTTCAGAAAGCCTGCCGGGGTGACGGTATAGGAGTGCTTGAAGATGTCCGCGCCCACGGGCTGAAAGAGTGGCGCACCGTGGAGCTGAATCTCTTGTATGAGGTCATGGGGAAACATCGTGCCAATATTTGGAAGCAAGTGAGCAATCAAGAAAGGTCTCTAGCTGGAGGACTCTACCACAAAGCCTTGGACATTACTAGACTCTGCGACAAGGTTCGACTTGAGCTTCTTTGGCGAATGCAGACTACGCAACTCCCAGAATGCTGCGGTCAGACATCAAAAGAATAGGTTCCTACGTCCGATGGAGCGTCATTCGCGCAGAATACAACTCCGGTACCGCCAATACGTTGACTGGACTGGTCCGTTAAGCCACCTAGTGCACGACAGTGTCCGTGCCATGACCCCGTAAATCAGTTGCATACTTTTATCTTGAACGAGTCCTCATACACATAGAGCAGTCCTTGCAGTCTAATCATGGCGCCTACAACTGTCAAAACATGCATCCAGTTGTGGCTATGTCCGGCGAGGTCCAGGGCTCCCGGGAACCACCTTTCAGGGACTCTGGTGGCATACAACACTCCCCCAAGCGAATTGATAGACGCCAATCCAATAAAGGACTGCAGGCCCATTGCCTTGTTCAGCGCATGGAGAGCTCCTAAGCTTTTCCAGGCGTGCCACATAGGTGGAAGGAACAAGACGGCACCTAAGAAGGAGTAGAGGTAGAGCCTGTCCGTACGATATTTTGGGAGCCGAAAACGCGATCGTAGCGTCACCATCGCACACAAAGTTGCCGCAAGAGTCAAGGTCACAACGTATAGAGACTTGACATACGGAGACTCGCACCGAAGGGCAAAATACATGTTGGACACGCCCGTGCCCCACATGACGACAACTATGCCCAAGTGATCTAGCTTGTTGCTGAAAATGTGCAACGCATAGCTTTGATCTGACAATGTATGGAAAATAGCAGACAGTGCGAAACAAACTGCAACCGAAGCGCAATAGAGTGACACTATGCCCTTGTCGCAGGAGTATGTGGATGGACTTTGCGCACTTTCGGAGTTGTGCGAATAACGTTGATCGAAGCGGACGATACCGACCAGGAAATAGGCCGTCCCGAAAAGATGCGACCATATATTGACTAGACACGGTATAAGCCTATTGAAGAACTGCAAGGCGTATCTTAACTGGACGGGAGGGTACTTGCCAGTCTCGTTGTGTAATCTGAAAACACTTCTCAAGGAGCTGATATACGAGTAGGACGCGTTCCTATCGTTAATTAGCAGGCCACATTCGTGTCCGGTGGAGGCGCTTTTACCTATATCCTGTAAGGATATATTCATTATCGCTGCCTGGATGAGATAGCCGTGCCTCATTATCTCTGGCATTATGACCACGTACCGCTGCCATGGCTCTACACAAATCAGCTTTGACACGTCATATCGTCTTGAAGGCTTGACTTACGTATCGTGGTCCGTCCATCCCATTTCTTCTCGAGCCTAATGCACATTGTGTCGCCACTTTGCAGTGGGCTTGGTAAAGGAAGTAGCAAGATGTACAAAGCCCACGGGGATATAACGCAGTGCAAAGTGATCCTAGTGCAGTTGCCACCGACCACTTGCATCTGTAACAACGGAAATGATCACAAAATGAATTAGAGTGTCGCAAACCACTGTGTATATGCGGTACACGTTGCTAATTCCACGGCGTGCTGCACTAAGAGCTTGCCTCTCGCCTTATTTGACCAGCCGGAACGGGATCGCGGTGTCGAGTTGCCCAGGGTGTTCAGAGCCAAGCTCTTTTCCTTGACGGATTCAGTTCCTGCTCCCTACCGAACAGGACAGTACCTGTGCCGGGAAGCTGTTATTGGCTACACATCACTTCCATGGACCGAATCAGTGAAGACGCTCCGGACCTGTACACGCAGACACCCCGAGCGTCTCGATATCATGAAGGCATCGACGTAGTATAAGTTACAGCTTTTGCTTTACTTGTGAGGCTTTTTTTGAGGTAATTACATCCTCAACTGCCCCTTGCCCCCATCAAGTCCAGAAACAACTTGCATCATGATGGACATTTGGCGTTTTGCGCTCCTCAGCGCTCTACACTTCAGTACAGCTCGCTGTAGCCTTTTGAGCGACGCAGGCTGCGAAACGGAATGTTTCGCCCCTTACGATGAGTGGCATAATCCGAACCGGACAGCTGGCACCAATGCAACATCACGGTGCGCAGAAAATTCATCGTATCGCAAGGCTGTTGCAGCTTGCTTTGCGTGCATGGACGAGAAGAGCGGATGGCGATACTTTACAAAATGGAGGAATCTGGGCCAATGGGAACTTACGGCTTTAGGGATGTGCAACTAGCCGGCTTCAAGCAGCAAGCTGGCGAGGAATGCCACGGTAGATAATGGGGTCAAACTCATTGTCCGGATGTGTATTACAGGCTCCTTAAAGCTACTTTAGCATCGCCTAGTGTATATACTGCAGCAATGGGCAAATCTCCATACCAGTCGCATACTTAGTACTTAACCCGTGGTGCAAACCAGAATTCTAGGTCACCCGCTTACTGTGCTGGTTTATCTTGACAAGAGAAGACACGATGTTATCTAGGACTGCCCTTCTGATTGCTTTCACCACACAGGTCCACAGTTCCATTACTCGCGCCCGTAGACAAGAGGAAGCTATCACCGTTACACCGCATGAACAGTATTCTTCCTCCATCGGCGCACTGGGATGCAAGCTGAACACCAACCGCGTGGCCTACTGGCCGGAGCAGATTACCTGTGATAACATTTGTGTCAAAGTCAGCAACGCCGAGCGCAGCGTCCATCTGCTGCGCGTGGATCAGTCAGGTGGTGCTCATGACGTATCTTACGACGCATGGAACTATCTTGTCTTCGGTACTGGTGCGGCTCAAGATCCTCATGAAGGAGGTGGTATTGCCATGGCGTATGAGCAGGTCCACCCGGACGAGTGTAAATACTTGCTTCATGATGGTAAGCTGGTATTATCTGCCGCAAACAGCATGAATTATCTCGGGTCGTGCCTCGGGGGCAAGAATTGGGTCGCGGAGAACCACAAGCTTGTCAACTTATTGGACCCTGGCTGTCGATACGGCTGGGATGAGCTATGCACACTGGATCTGAGCAAGAGCAACCAGCCCGCATGTCCACACACGCTCGGCGATCTGCATACCCCCACGGGACAGAAGGTCACAAATATACGCTATCGAACTGGCGAGAACTACGTTGTTCAGTGAGGCAGGCGCAAGGCAGCTTTGTGAACGTCCTGAGTTCCCCTTGTTTCACAAGAGGGACGGGTCACTGACAAAAATACGCCGGAAGCGAAGTGCATCATTGGCAGTGACATGGGACTATGTACTGTACTTAGATTCTTATGCCTACCAATCCTATTACGTCTTGTAGCTGTCGTGTCGCGGAAGAACCAGAAGGTTGAAGTGAACCATCATAAGTTTGAACAATAACTTGATCAACTAGAGCTACTTGATGATGGCGCTGGCAAGGCAGGGCGGAGAGCCAGCTGCACTGCGACCGATAACCCTAACCCTAGTACCGGAACTGCCGTTTCGTCTGGGTCAAGCCACGATTGTCTTTTAAATGTCATGGCATATTGCCAATAGCCGGGCTGTCTTTAACCGGTGCGCCTTTGTATCCTTCGTCTTCCCCGTCTTCGAGAGGTGTCCGGCAAACGGGACACGTGCAACATTCTTTCAGCCACGGGTAGATGCAATCATAGTGAAACAGATGCTTGCAAAGCAGAGCCACAACCATGTCCCCTACCTTGGTATCATCAAGACAGACGGGACACTCGGTCGCTTTTTCGCCAGTTTGTTTCACAATGCGCCGGCTGAGGGCTTGAAGAGCCTTCTGAGACGCTGGGGGGTGGGCCGT